TTTAAATATAGAGATGAACAGAGCTGTAGCATAATTTTGTGAATCATTTTTAATAAAGAATATTCTGATTGCAACTGAATATTAACTGCATGCAGTAGATTTCCTACATGTGAAAAGAATCCCAAATATACTTCTGCCATTTCATATTAGAAAAATTTTTTCAAATTTTAGGACAGCCTTTAAAATCTTTATTTAAGAAGTATTTTTTTAAGGGTTTGTAAAATTTTAAAATTCTATCGATGGCAGGTATTAATGACAACCACCTGATAGGTATATATCGCAACAACTCACACCATTCCAAGTCAGACCACTTCACCAACTCTTTTAATTCATTAACTCTTTTAGTTGAACTAAATTCGTTAAAATATTTCATCACAATTATTTCGACATCCACAGACTGTACATTCATTGCCTTCTAAGAACTATGAAGTATATATGGCATATACAGCCAATTGGTAATAATTCATTTGTGCTGCCTCAATTCGGTAACTTTAGTTTTGGCCAAAATTTACAGAGACATTATCAGCGCAGAAAGCTGGCATGCAAATCATTGATAACCTTGAATCAGCTATATTTACCCTTATGTGGCTAGCTACATCGTTGAATTTTTCACTATTTGAGGACTTTTTTTAACAGTTTTATTGAAATGTTCTTATTCTTGTTGAAATTGCAAAGGCTTATTAGATACATTTGTTAGAATTGCATATGGATGCCCATCTTTCAAATCGTCTAGAATTGACCTCTAGGATTCAGGTACCAAAACATTGTGATAGCCTTGCTCATTTTTATTGCCACAAGTAAGGTTTGCACTTATATTGGAGTCGTTAAATATCATGAGAAAAAGATTCTACCCACATTGTAATGATATATATAGAGCTCTGTGAATGTTGAACTACATAATAGATGTATACAATTTCCGCAAATATAGTTTCATTTTGAGAATATTTTTGTATTGCAATCGATGTTGATATACTCCCCTGTACTGACTAATATTAATGAAATAATGTTGATTTATTATTGGATAAAAATAAAACAGGATAGAAAGAAATTTACAAACTAGACATCTTTTTCGAATAAATATTTAAAATTTAATTTAAAAATATAAAAATAATCAATTAATGTCTCAAAATTATTATTTACATATTAAAAACGTTTAAAATACTTTTTTAAAAAAATCGCGGGAGAAATTAAATTGGGGTAGATTTTTGCGGGAGATTTCCAATTGCGGTAGTTTTGCGGAGAGAGATATTTGCGTGTAAACTAAAAAATTGCGGGAGTCCCGCTGATGGGGAGAGACATGGCAACCCTGTTCATGCTTAAAGGTTGCTACTGTCTATTTCTCTTATTAAAACTAGTTTTTGTTTATTGACTAGAAAAACTGATTGATGGAATAGTAAGTACTAATCTGGCATTTCTATGGTATGAGCTCACCCAAAAATATTTGTTTTTTTCGCATGTTGCCAATCGTGGCAATTTTATCTTATTTTGTCGAAAGACTATCTAATGAATTGAAGAATCAATGTAATAAATTTCAATTATTGATTTAAGTTCCAGATTAAATGCTTCCAGAAATTTGGTTGGTTTTACGCTTTAATGGGAGATATAGATTTTATTTCTCTTATAGTACGATTACCTTTTTGTGTGTGAAAAAAATGACTGAAGAATTAATAAATATTAGCGCAAACCAGCTATTTTCCATTCTATCAATAATGCCAAATTAGGCAATTTTTCTTATTTTGCTAATAAACTTTTTCTTTATACTGTCTCTTAAACGAATTAAATTATAATTAATACGGAACATCGATAAAATTTTCTGAATAAATTATTTCCGTCGCATAAATCATAGATTTGCCAAAATTTTGTTACTAATAGTTTTTTCCTTTTACGAGCTACTATACTCGTTTAAATACTCAATTGGTACAAATAAAGCAAGAAATAATGATATAATTTACAATTAGTTCGTAGAACTATTCAGCCGCCAAATTTAACGGCGCTGATATTAAAATATATAAATCTTGTTTATTCCTCTGTGATACACAAGTTGAAGCATATAAAGAAGTTACTCAGAATTATCAAACTATTATGGTAATTATAGATATAAATAGCTTAAACCTTTGATTTTGAATGATACGATCAAGTTAGAATATTTAGAAAGAATTAAATAAAAATGTAAATATAAGCCTAAAAAATATCTAAAAATTTATTTTTAATTCTACATTCAAATGCTGGCTCAGAAATGAGTTTAATGAATATGATTAGGCGAAAAAATTTTTCTTCGGTCTCATTTGATTTATTAGAGGCCGAATTAATGGTAAAGCAGAATTTTGACATGAATTGCGAAGAGTTAAAATTTATTTCATATATAATAAACTTTTAAATAAAATAAATTCCTTCCGATAAATATGTAGATTTGGATCTAATTTTTATAAATTTTGACTTTATATTCAAATTCAAATTTAAATCTGTAAATTATAATTTGAAAAAAATTATTCACCAATATTTATATATAAAAGAATTGCAGTTGTGGCGCTTTCCCGCTTTTTATCCTTTAGTCATTAAAAATCCCACCTCACTCTTAGAATATGGGAGGTATGGCCGGGCCTAAAAATTTTTGCAATTTACAAAATGAGAAAATTGAATAATACACCTATTTAATATAATTAAAATATAGCCACTTTTTATAATTATTTTTTATTATTCTTCATTTATATATTCCTCTCAAAATTTAGAAAATGTTTTTAACAACCCCCCCCCCCCCCCCACCCTTGTCGTGGTAAAATATGTAAAAGTAAATAAATAAACACTTAACCCATTTTGCCCTGATTTCCCGATATTGGAATATCTTTATTTTCTTGATTTGGAACATTTTCTATTTATTTTCAAAAAATCCTGATTTTTTTAATTCCATTTTATTAGAAAAAATGAGTAAAAGTGCTTACAAATTGAGTAGAAGCGTTTAGCGATGTTTTCACAAATACGCTATGATTTAAATTGAACTGGTATTATTTTAAAAAATGATGAAAACTATTTTACGTTTTTTAATTTTTTTTTTATATTGTTTAGTTTGACTTGTGAAATCAGCAAAAATAAAAAACTAAAATAATTGAAGATCTAATGATTTATTTCCATAATTTATTCTTCATAAATATTACAAATTTATGTAATCTAGAATATTTTGAATTTTTTTTTTGATTAATCATAACTTTGCAGTTATTTCTATTTATTAAAATGCGAATAGAAGAAAAAGGAAAGGTCATAATATTCAAATGAATTAGTTACTATTATATCAAAGTTATATCGATGTGCATTATCTCAAAATTGTAATTAGGAGGCATTAATTATCAGTAAAATTTTCTATAATTAAAATAATCTGAGAAAATCAATAAAAAATTCTTAGCTTTCAGTATAGTTTTTTTATCTAGATTAGAAATAAAGTATTACTTTAAATGACATAAAGCACACTTTTAAATTTTATGTTGGGGGGGGGGGAGGGTTAACTTATTCTGCTAAAAACTTAACCCAAAATGTCCGCTCCATACTTACAACCATGAGTGAGTGAGACCAGGAAGACTAATATATTTTCTATCACATCAGATAGAGGTTACATGCTTATTAAATAAACAATACGTAATATAATATTCTTAAAACATTAGCGTTTATGATTTAAGAAACTTCGGTTGGTAAATTGATATTGAATATATCGATTTCACTTAAAATGAATTCACAATTTTCGCGGTCTGCGCTCGTTATAATAATTTCGCGCAAATACATTCGCGGTAGAAAATTCGCTATAAATGGTTCGCGATTAAAGTTTCGCTATAATGAGTTCGCGATCAAAGTTTCGCTAAAATGTATTTGCTCTAAAGTATTCGCGGTTTAGGTTTCGCGGAAATAAATTCGCGATAATGAGTTCGCGATCAAAGTTTCGCCAAAATGTATTCGCTATAAAGTATTCGCGGTTAAAGTTTCGCGAAAATAAATTCGCTATAAAGAGTTCGCGATAAAAGTTTCGCTAAAATGTATTCGCTATAAAGTATTCACGGTTAAGGTTTCGTGGAAATAAATTCGCTAAAACGAGTTCGCGATCAAAGTTTCGCTAAAATGTATTCGCTATAAAGTATTCGCGGTTAAGGTTTCGCAGAAATAAATTCGCGATAATAAGTTCGCGATATTGTCTTCGCTATAAATGTTTCGCGGAAAAAAATTCGCGGAATTGGTTTCGCTATATTACCTTCGCTATAAAATTCCTTCGCTAAAAAATTCCTTCGCGATAAACGACATTCGCGATAAAAGTTTCGCGAAAAAGTGTTTCGCGATAAAAGTTTCGCTGAATTGACCTGATACGATATAGAACTGTAATGATCTTGCATTTGTGAATCCCTTAGTTACATCTAAAGAAAAATTTTGGTACCTGTGGAACCCTAAATGGACATGTGTTTAGAACTTTAATGATATTGCATCTATAAATCCCTTTTAAGGAAGTAGCATTTATTAACTATAATGTAGATAAATACCTTTTTTTACACATATACCTTTAAACTGGAATAGTTACATTTGATCTATTTTAACTTTGTTGTGTATATCAGATAGATCTAAAAGACCACACAATTTGGTTATTGAACATTTCATTCCACTCTTGATTGTATATATCTACATTATTTTGTAATTTATAAGTTTACACAATTAGATACATAGAATATCTTTATTCATTATAAGGATGAAAAGACATGCAATTTTATACTGAAATTTTTTTATTCCACTCAGTAAGTATAAAATAACCATACAATTAGATTTATTATAATATTCTACACTTCCTTTTGCAATTATAAGTTTACTTACATATATACCTTCTAAACTGGGATGGTTACATTTGATCTATTTTAAATTGTTGAGTATATCAGATCCAAAGTTAAGTGAAGGGTCACACAATTAGATATATTGAATTCCTTAATCTTATAAATATAAGAACCAAAAGATCTCTACATACCATTTTCAAGCCCTTTCCAAAATTTACTACGTAACCTTTATATTGCTAAACCTAATACTGTACACTCATTGGATGGTTATTCTGTTGCTCAACGTAAGTTTAAAACCTTATTTTTAATATATTATCCTAAATTATGTTATTATATTTATTTAAGTCGAGTTATATTATTTACTTCTCAATATTATTTCAAATAAAATTAATATAGCCAATTTTATCCTTTCATAATCAAGTTTTATTTAATCGGGCATGGGTTTTTTACCTCTCTTTTTATTTTCCCATGGGCGTTTAAGTAAGGGGCTTTGCCTCTTGCGTGCACAGGTAACTGCGGCCTGCCCAAAAAACGTGGATGGTCCTCTTATTTATTTAATTATTTCCCATTCTTTTATCCCAGTTAGATGGGCTCTTATGAGAGAACCAAGCGTTGCTCTATGACATTTTAAGGCTAGTGCGCTTAATATCACGTATCACGTAAATATTATATACAAAAAAAGTATTTATTTTTTTCATACAATATATATAATATAAATAAAACTATACAAAATTAATATATAATAAGATAAAATCTTTAATAAAATTTTTTTTCATATATATATAATTATGATATAATAAAATTATACAAAAATAATATATAAGATAACATCATTTTGTAACCATTTTTTATTTTTTTTAGCAACAATTGATTTTCAAAATTTTAATCGACAAACAAGAGTGCTTAGTGCTCAACACAACTTTCGCAGGGCTAAACACGTTCAAATGGCGCAGAGGTTGGTATAATTGTATTATATTTAATAATAAAAATATTTAAAGAATTATCTTTATTTTGAAAAAAGCTTAATAGATCATCTTCACGGGGATCTTCATTCATTTCCTCATTAAAAAAATGCATCCTTATGAGAAAATATTCTGGTATGTTATTAAATCGATTAGTTTAAAAAACGAAATGAATTTTATTTGTAATTCTTTTGGTATATATACACATTTATCCAATTTAACTTCTAATAATATGCAATTTGATTAACCTCGATAATATAATATTACGTGATCTTTTAAAATATATCTTAACCTTTACAATAATAAATATTCAGATGTAACATATGTGTGTTGGATAAAGGAATTAAGTCTGCTCTTTTTTTATCAAGATCTTTTCTCAAACTGAAAATAAGTTCTAGCATTCTTTCTCTGTTGACCTCTAATTATATCCTGGGCCAATCCAATTTAAATAGCGGGTAAATTATTGCGGATAGGATATATTCATCTTTATAGATGTGTTTGCATCTATTGAAAATAAATTTTTTTAAACGTAAAATGCTGTGAACGTTACTACAAAAAGGAAAAGCGTTACCGTTACTCTTTACGTCTGAAAGAAGGAATGCGCTTCGTTTAAAAATTAAGCATGGGGAAGCAAATAAAAAAATGCCTATTTTTTAATAAAATAGATATTTTTTTTAAATTTATATTTTTTTCCTTACTTATTTTATAAAAAATTTCCTTTTTATAAAAGTAATAATCAATATTTAATAATTGCAATTATATTATTAAAAATTTAATAAGATTACAGTTATATGTATCTGTATCTATTTATAGATAATTTTTAGAATACATTTTGTTATACTTTTATTTAACGCTTTTTTATCTAAAAAATAAAAATATTTAAGTGCAAATTTTATCTCATGTGAGCATATAATTTAAATAAACATATATTAAAATATTAAGACTAAAAAATATAAAAAAAGATATAAACATTATTTTTTCCCTTTCTAAAGATATCAGTTAAAGATTGTGAAGGATATTTTTATCATGCAAAGGAATTTATAAATCCTTGTTTAGCCATGACCCCAATTAATTATAAACAATACCATTGATGCACAAAATTATATTAAACAAATAAATTTATTTAGAATTTTGTAAAATAATTTTCTTTTATAGATATTTCGCTAACTTTTAATTAATAAATTCAGTAATTGATCATTTTACTCTAAACAAAGACGAATTCTTAACGAAATTTAACAATTAAATAATAAACCGCGTCTTTTATTTATATTAAACAAAATTTCATTGCGCCTCCCCTATCTGAAAATATTAAAAAGGGATTTTTTTTCTTGTGACACTTCCAGACTGGCAGTGGTATCATTTACGCGGCCCGACTGCCCAGATTTTTTTATAGATAATAATGGTAATTTAAAATACTTGGTTTTAAAATATACGGCAGCCGGGGTATTTTTTTAAAAAAATTATTTTAGGCATTGGTATATTTAAAAAAAATTAAAATACGACCCGACCTGGAGATCCGTGATAAATTTTAATAAAATATATATATGAATTTCTTGAACCCAAACATATCTATATCCAGGGTTGACTTTAATCTTATAACGATATGAAATATATTTATAGAATTATCCTTCAATTTCCTTATCCCAAGTTTCCCTTTTTCCGTGTTCTATCTGGTAATATTTTTACAATAGCTCATGCTCAGAAGAGATAAAGTTAATTTTATTTTAAATCTCCTAATTTTAAAAATTTTCTCACTTTCTTGGAAGAAATAGAAAAGGAAATATAACATTAAATATTTTTTGGGGTTGGTCCTGCAGAAAAATGGGTAAAAAATCTAGGATTAACTACACTTTATTATATGGAAGTAAGTTGCTTCTCAAGAAATTTCGAAGATTTATTACATCAGTTTTAACTATATTATATTCATTATATTTAAAGATAAAGATGATTTCTAAAAAAGTAAACGCGTTACTAAAATAAAAAAATGTGCGCTAAAATTTGTTTTAACAAAAATTAGTTTTTGATGCTTATTAAATATTATAATTTCATTTTGTGCAAATATTTTGTAGCTTCTTCAATAATTTTTATGGTCACCTAATTTAATGTCAATTAAATTGATAAGAAGGACAAAATAATTAAATATTTACAATGTAATATATTTCTTAATAATGTATATAACACTGAATAATTCTTCTTCTTCTCCCTTTAATGACGATTTCCAGGTTTACATAGGTAAGCCAGTTTCCCTCCTAATTTTCCTTCTCTATTTTTGATGGTCCTGAGTAACACTATTTGTAAGATTGATTTTTCTCATATCTGCCGCTATCACCTTTATCCACGTCATCTTATTCCTCGAAGTGCATCTTTTTACCCAGTCACCTTTCGTTCCACATGCCCAAACCATTTCAGTCTATTTCTTCTCACTACCACTCTAATCTCTTCTATTTTCATTTTTTCTTTCTCAGAGATACCTCACATATCTATTAAATCATTCTCATCTCCGTTCTTTCCTGTTTAGCTTTGTCAGCTACTCTAATTTCCCATGTTTCACAGCTATACCTACAAAAATACGAATCAAATATTTGCATTATTCGTTTTCGATTCGTATTTTAGATTCGAATAATTGTCGTATACGAATACTTCCTTATTTATATTCATACGAATATAAAAAACATTATTCGATTGATTCGTCGAATATTCAATTCTTTAATGAAAATATTTTTTTGAATGTATCTTTTAATATTTGTTTTTAAATTTGTGATTTCATCTTGAAAGATTTCTTGTCCAGAAAATTATAAAAGGTTTACTTATAAAAGAATTTTACTAAACATATTTAGAAATTTTAGGTAAAATTTGATCAAATATCTTATCTTTCTTCTTTAAAAAAATCTTAATCTTTAAAGATTTTTTTTCAAAAAATATTTTTTCAATTTAAAAATCGAATCTAATAATTCATTTTAGAAATATTCACCTCCATAAAATATACAACCCCTCACACAGCTTACGTAAACTTTTCCCTTTAACTTCAGCGACGTTTTTATTTTGTAAAATTAATTGGTGTACAAATAATTATTTTGACATAAATAATACTATATTACAAATTTACATAAAAAAATTCGAATAAGCTTTACTAATAAACTCTATTTCTTTTTGGCTTTTGAACTTTGTTTTTTGATGGTAGTTTTTTTCTTTATAATAAAAAATTAGATAAGATTTATGCAGAGTTGTTAAACGCTATTTTTAAAAGTAGCGCGCTACCGCTATATCTATTTGCCAAAAAAAGTAGCGCGCTACCGCTTTCGCTATTTGTCAAAAAAAGTAGCGCGCTATTAGCTACTTTTTTTCAAAAGTAGCTTTAGCTACTTTTTATAAAAAAAATTTTAGAAACAAATTTTTTTTATTTTTTTTTTGCTTATAATGTAAATGTATAATAAATAATATATAAAAATCAATCAACATTTATAAATATAAAAATATAGTTAGTTTAGATTATAAAAAAATAAGCAATATAAATAAATATTTATTTTAATTTGTTGCATTTTAATAATAATATCATTTCAATATTATCATCCCCAAGTCTAGAGCGACGATCAGAAAGTATAAGCTTTGCTTTACTAAATATTCTCTCGACACTAGCACTTGAGGGCAAGGAAGCTCTAAAAATATTTAATCAGATCAATTTATAAATATAAATAAGTTTTTACCTTCTGTTATGTGTCCAACTATCTGCCGTGGTACATACATAAGATATATCTGATAACTCTGTCGTCTATTTTATCCATAAATGTCTGGCGACATAAAACTGTTGTGCCAGGGGATAAAGTTTTAATCATCATAGTAAATGATGGATTATCAACCAAGGACAATGGCTGAACTGTGTCAATAATAAAATCAACAATTACTTTATCAGCCAATTTTTGTGAAATATTGGCATGTTTATTATCAGTTAATTTGGTTTGGATAGTATTTGTTTTTTTGAATGAAGATTCTCCTATACCAAAATTTTTTATATGTTTCCCTATTTCCTTATAGCAATTGGCGTGAACAGTCTAATAAAATAAATAATATTATAATGTAAAAATAACAATTTACTACCTTTAGGTGTTTCTTAAGGTTATAGCTACTCGATTGATTTGATGATATATTTTTTTTACATTTTAAGCACAGGAATTTGTATCCAGATTTTGTTTTAATATTTATTTAAAAAAATTTTTCAAATCTAGGGAATGGGAAATCGTTATTAGAGTTATTAAGTACATTTTCTTCCATTGAATCTTCCATGTCTGAATCACTTTCAAGAATTTGGATATCCATGGGCGATGCCATTTTAGATTATTAACACAGATTGAAAATATAAATTAAAAATTGAAAATATATTTAAATTTCCAAATTAAATAATAAATTATAATTAATTATGATATTATATTTAAATTTTCATGTTTATACTTACATTCATTATATTTTTTAAAAGTAGCGATGTAGCGCGCTACTTAGCTACTTTTAAAAAAAGTAGCGCGCTAAAAAATTAAATAATTTAAAAAAAAGTAGCGGCTATTAGCTATAGCTACCAAAAAAGATAGCGCGCTAAGTAGCGCGCTACAAGTAGCGAGCTACTTTAACAACTCTGGATTTATGTATATTATTTTTATATAAAAAATTATTATCCAAATTCTTATATGATAAATGTAATACGAACCTTAATCATTTTATCATCAACTATATCAAAATCGGGGTCTTCTTTATCACTTCCGCCACTTCCTTCTGTGCCACTCTCTTCATTTACGTTCGTATTATTCCCATCTTCCAAAAATATTTCTTCGTTATCCAAAGATATTTTCTTGGAGGCTTTAGATTTACTTCGCCCAGACTTTCTTTTAATAACAAAATCAGACGTATGCTCAAGCACATAAGGAATCCGGAAAGAACGTTTATTATAAGCTCGCGTTAGGGCAGCTTTTACCTGTTATTGGTATAATGAAAAGTGTAAAAAAATAAATTGGCATTATTTTTCAATTTAAATAATTATAAATAATTGAGATATTTTTTGTGATAATATTTAAAAACTTTAGGATTGATGAGTGAAAATGTGTCTTTTATAATCTGTCCCTTCTTTCCCTGACAAGGTTGTGTTTTACTTTCCCATTTCGACATTTCAACAATGTTGTCTAGATCGTCTTTAAGTAAGTAGTAATAATGCATGGTGGATATTACTCTATCTATTCCATCATCGACACTCAAATGGTCTTCGATATTATTATTAGTAGCGTTAGAGAGGAGAGGAAGTGAAAGACTGTTTTTAAGAGAGTTCATATAATCTAAATTTATACTTAACCAGTCGCTGTAAGTTCTAGAATCAAATGTGTAAAAAAATAATTGTTAAATATTTTAAAATATCTATTTTTAGAGTCCTGCAGGTCTGTTGTCTGACTGATTGAATATTACAATAATAAAATAAATTTTTAAAAATCAGGTGGGATTTTATATACATTTTCATATTTTTGTAATAAATAGGATAAAATAGAAAAACTCCTCAAAATAAAAATGATTGCTGAACATTTAAATTTAATGTTTAAAATTAGAATAAAATAAATATTTTGAGATATATTTTCTTAAAAGTTGGGGCAAGATTATATCTATTTTTTTACTATCGACTTCGGGGAGGAACATTGTCTTATCTTTTCTTTAACAACAACTGGTGTTGTCATTGAGACACTGGTTATCGAGAAGGTATATTAACCATCTATGGCAAAAAGTGAAATGCATGGACGGCCTAAGACGACTGAAAGCGCAAATGAATTACTTGGTAGACAATTAATGATTGCACAACTTTGGAATAGTTTAGTCTAGAATATCTAAATTATTATATGAGAAATAGCACGCTCCAAAATTCAAAGATAACGGGATCGAGATATAGATTAAAATATGCTGGTATCTAATTTTCATTGCTATTGAGATGCGATGGATAATTAGATGGACCAAATACATGACTGTGATGATTAATATAAAGGATCCTTTTAGATACTCTCATCCATATTTAAAATTGATGGATACATATAATATAATTAGAAAAAGAAACAATTTTAAAATATGCTTATGGAAGAAACCATTAACCCTCAAAAAGAAAATAATGTCGTTGATCAGGCTGCTGATTCATTTTCTAATGTCGAGGTGATTACTTTTATTATTATATTAACAGTTTAACAATATTTCTAGGGATGTACCGATATTTTTTATCGGATCGGGCCGATATTTCACCTATTATAAAATATCGGTTATCGGCCAATATTATAAAATTTGCCGATCCGATATAAAATGGCGTCCTTAACAAAAATAAAATGTTATAAATTTTTTTTAAAAAAGTTATATCTAAAATCATTTATTTTTATAAATAAAATGAAATCCATATTTTTTTTAATAATAATAATTAATTAATAAACATTCTGCCATTTTGTTTTTTTTTGTGCATTCTGTTAAGAAAAGTGTGCGATAATCTCTTCAGAATCTGTTTTTAGTGAAGCTGGTGATATTGACAGTTACCATCGCCGCAGGCTGATTTCGGATAAATTGGAAATTTTGATATTTCTAAAAAGAAATCTTCGATATATTAATGTTAAATATTATTTTAAATTTCATAATATAATTGTTTATTACTTATTACTTATTATGTATATAAATTAATGTTGTTACTTATTATATAAAAGTGATTTATAATAAAAATATTTTATATATTTTTAGGCAATAGAATTGAATATAAACTATAACTGATCATTATAATATATTTAAATGACATAAGTTATGGTATAATTAAATTATAGATGTTATACTAATAATAAGTATATTACAAATTAAAACTATTGGTATCTTTACAGAATACAAAATTAGATATGATATCGGATCGGTTATCGGCCGATATTAATTTAATTTCTGGAATATCGGATCGGATCGGCCTCCAAAAAGTGATATCGGTACACCCCTAATTTCCAACCATGTCACGTTGGTTAAATCTTTTCAACAGTAAGGGATACATAGTTATGCAAGCAACTAAAAATATATTTTTTAGTATTGCCAATTTAATTAATAGGCTAAATAGGTGAAGATTGATATATTATTTGAAACACTTATTATATTTTTTAAAAAATGTTTAAGTTGTAAATTTTAATTATAACAAACTTTTAATTTTTATATTATCATTTTTCTAAATTTGGCATTTACACATTTATAATTATTTGATATTAATTTCTTTGTATTAATAATTTGTAAATCAAAATAATATGTTTAAAAAAATTATGGTAGATTACAAACTTCTAAATTATTTATATGCTATAAAAATTAATTGATATAAAATAAGATAATGGTCATTAAAATTATTTCAGCCCAACGATATATAAAATCATTTTTAGATACAAACCTAACCCAACCCTTATCTATGTTTTAGATGTAATCAGGCAGATCAGGTAAATAAAAATATTTTTGCTAAAACTAATTTCTATTACGGGCTCAAATACCAAACATCCTGGAGCCGGGTAATCTATCATCAGATGTGGCCAGAGGCCAGATGGTTTAACTTCGGTAGCTTGGTTGTTAGTTAAACCCTTAATTTGGGACTTTAGTAATGTCTTTCCATGGATATATGTCAAGCGGGACTTTAAATTTTTTAAAAAATAGAGGGGGCAAAATAAGAGCTCTTACATCAGAACCCAAGGAATTTTATTAAAACAAAAAATTTAAATTATTAATTTAAAATATAATTATTCCTGTTTTGGGGAACTTGTAGTCTAACTCCGTTTACTGGAATGAGTTTATTTAAATATTTTTATTATTCATATTAATTTTACAAATAAAATTTCACCTTTTTAAATTCATTGTGAAAAAAAAATTGACCAGTAAAACAAATAATAGTGGCTATTTTAACTTAAATAAGTAATATATATATATCTTCTAACTTAACTAAAAAAAATTTATATGCCTATTTACAAATAAATGAAATTCGAGTACTAATATTTCAAACTATAAAAATTTTTATTATACCTAAGCATCATGTGAGTCTTGAGCTCTTTGAGCATACGTTGAAATTTGGTTTTCTTCGAATTCTTACCAAAAAACTTTGGGAAATTTATCATACCTCCAAAATAGCCTTTCATTATCTCCCCAGGAGCCACGGCAGAGCTGAGAGCCTGGATTAGCATAAATTATATTACTGCTAAAAAATAAGATAATATTGGCTAAAATTCACAAAAAATTAATAATCATTATATTAATAAAGTGAAAATTATAAATTCTAAAAAATCATATCAGGGTTAAAGGCATCATTTCTATTTTATTTCCCACCATAAAAAATCCATGCTTTATTTATATTACTCAATTTGGAAAAAAAAATTTAATTAAATTTTACCACTAAAGGCAATAAACTCCAATTATTTGTTTTTTGGATAGTTTGAGTCATCAAGTCTCCATCGCTTATAAAATCCGCGCTTTGCGATATAAGTAGCATTTGAGCATCGTTGTCTTTACTAAGAATATATTGTATATGGGGGGCGAATTAATTCCAAGTTATATCAAGTTAGAAAAAATTTATAAACTTATTTTTTAAATATCAAAAATTTGGCTTGATCCTAAAAGTATTTTGCACAAGTTGCTTGGATCTGGCTTCCCGGTTGTGCCAACTTCTAATAGGAAGTGTCTTTAGAAGTCATCTCCAAAATAAAAATTACAGGGAAACATAACTTAGTCTTTGTTAAAATCCCACCAATTAAATTCTGATGTGAAAGGGATCAAAGTTTCTGCTTAAACATTTAAATATGCTTATTTAAGCATTTTATTTTAAAAATAAACTTCGAACACATTTACGTAATCTTTTCGTGGCATATTTTCTTAATAGTCACAGGGCATCCATTCTACCTCGAATGTAATAATAATCTAATTCCATCACAGGATGGACCAGCACTCCCTGGATTCGGCAATCTTCTGCATAGTTATTTAAAATTATAATTAAATTCACGGTATTTAGACGAGGGCATCATAGCTGATTATTTTGAAATCCAAGTCATGAATGTTCCCAAAATAATAGAAGAGCCTTTTTCATTAATGGGACAAATATAAATTATCTTTTCTGAGGAATGTAGCTCCCAATAATACATCTTTTACTATTACACCATTGGATGAATTAACTCATTTTGGATTGTTAGTTAGGGGTTTACGCTCATGAATTTCTAAAAAATTCCTTCAAATAAAATAAATGACTCAAAACCCAATCTTATTTTAAACTAGGACTGACATGATTATATTAAAATTTAAATCAATTTTTTATTTTGTGTATATTTTAAATAATTATTCATTTGTCATTTTACTATATTTTGCGCAAGTTCTAATTAATTGCTAAATTTAATTATTGAAAATAATTTTATATAATGTTGATCAAGAAATATTTTAAAAAAATATTGTTTAAATTTAAAGAGATATAAGAAATCCATTAATAAGATAATTGGCCCTCAATATGTTGATACTAAGAAGTCTAAATCATGCAGTAATTTCAATTCTATTTTATTTGAAAATATTAGTTAAATTAAAATAATCAAATAGTGCTTATTAGAGGTGGGCGTGGGCCGTGAAATTACGCGTGACCCACCGTTGTGAAGAAATTTTAAATTATTAGCGTGACTGGGCATGACGGGCCTTTCCAAAATTTTCCCCGTGCGTGAGTAGGAGTGAACACAAATTTCCATAAATCACGGAAATTTTAATTTTGCAAATTTATAATTTTAAAAAATATATATTTTATTTATTATTTTATTTAGTTTTTTTAAAAAAAAGATTAGTTTTTGAAAACAAAAAATCTTTCGCATTTTATAAACAACATCCGAGTGAACCTATTTTTACTTTTGCTAGCTTTTTCTTTTAAAATTTATATGTTCAAATTGAAATCAAATTTATCAACAAGCTTATTTACATGTATATAGTGATCTTCTTTCAAGTATTTTATTATTATATATATTATTTTACAATGAAAATGTAATTCTTCGTATTAAATTATAAATTTTATTATTTACAAATGTCATTGAAAGTTTTTACTTTTTATTATTTGTAATAAATGCTTTAATGTAATGTATGAGTAGTGAAGGAGTAGAATTTATAATATTATATTAATATATAATAAGTATTTCTTTATTAACAATTAAACTCAAAGATCTAGTGTACTATTAGACCCAACAAAATACAACAACCAATGAAAAATAATAAATCAATGGAAATATGGTAATACATAAATTTAAATATGTTTTATTTTCATTTATCTTTATTATTTATACTAATCATTTTCACTCAAATTATAATGATTCGAAATTAATATAACTCATTGTTTAAATTTTCTCATATTTACCAACAAATCTAACATACTCAATATAATTGTCATAAATAAATTTGCATATTTGGATTATATATATATTTTAAAATATAGTAAACAAATATTTTAAAAATTTCAAACATTACTCATATAATTTATAATCTTGTTGTTTTATTAATTTTGGTTTATACCTTTTTATTAATCAGGCTAAGGAAAATCACATGATATATTTTTCTAATATATTATTTAAATTTTAAACAAATGGTCTTAATTTTTTTACTATAATCTTTGGTTTAAATAATTTTAGAAAAATACTTAATTCATTCATTCTTTATTTATTAAATAAATGATTTTAAGCGACCTTGAAGAGGAAAATCATACACAAAGCAGTGGAAAAGGAGATAATAATGTTAATAATAATAATGAAATAATTGAGATGGACATGATTTCAAAATCAGAAATGTTAACTAAAATAAGAAGGAAAGACATTGATATTGAATTTAAAGCTCCAGAAAAAGCAAGATATGGGATGATTTCTTAACAATTTATTATAAAGGTACCTTACAAAATTTTGTAAAATGTACAAGTTGCCAAAATGTGATGTCATATAAATGTAAAACAGGTACTGCCAGTTTATTAAGACATAAATGAGTCATAAAAAATACAAAAAAACATTCTGATCAGACAATATATAATATGTTTAAAAGACAAATGTCAGATAAATCAAAAGCAGTTTTACAAAAAAATCAGTTATATTTTATATGTAAAGATCTACAACCTTTAAATGCTACAGAAAATGATGGATTTTATAAGCTTTCTACAACCTTTAAATGCTACAGAAAATGAAGGATTTTATAAGCTTGGCCAAGAGTTAATTAATGTTAGTGTTACATATGGACAACAAAATATAAAAGATATACTCGTTAGTCGAAAAACTCTTATGAATACAGTAGCTCCAAAAATATATGAAGAAATTAAAATTAAGATAAAAAGCTTGATCAAAAACAATTACTTGTCCATAACCACCGACTTTTGGACAGATGAGTATAAAAATCGTAGTTTTTTAACTATTACTGGGCATGTTATCAATAAGGATTTTGAATTAAAATCATTTGTTTTGGCTAGAAGGGTAATGGATGAAAAAAAAAACAGGAGTCAATATCAAAATTATAGTAAATTCAATTTTGGAAGAATACACAGACATAGAAAATTATTTAAGTAAATGTATAGTGGTAACTGATAATGGGGCAAACCTAATATGTGCATTTAAAGATGATGAAAGGCTACCCTGCATATGCCATATATTAAACAACATTATGCATTACATTTTTGATAATTGTTTACATGAAATAGCTGTAAATATAAATGGTGTGAAAAAAATAGTACAGTATTTCAAACAATTAACAGCTAACAGCAAACTAGGCTACACTCTTAAACAAGATGTGATAACTAGATGGAACTCTGTATATATCATGATACAGAGTTTCTTAAAATCATATTCCGAAATTCAGGTGTACTTGCTTAGCAAGCAAGAATTAAATCGACTAGCCACTGTTGATATTACCATCTTACGGCAGTTAGAATTTTTTTTATCAATATTTAATGAATGCTCGGAAAATCTGAGTGCCGATTCTCATCCCACAATAAATGAAGTTTAGCCGTGGAGACAAAAATTATTACAGTATTGTCAACCCTCTGAAGGGGATACAACAATAATAGAAGCCTTAAAAATCAGGACTGGATGTCTTTTAAAGATTCATCATGCAGCCCCTGCATAAAGTAGGCTTAATTTTGGATCCCAATTTCAAAAGCCTTAAGTTTTTATCAGAAGAAGAAAAAAACGATAAACTACCATAAAAATGCCAAATGTCATAAAATATGATATGAATAAGTCAATGCCAAAGCCAACTATTAGCTATCATAATTCGTCCTACACTCACAAGAAACCTAATATTCTAAATGAAACATTTAGAGAATTTCTAGATAATACTGATGAACCCTCACCATCTATCGAAGAAAGCTGCGAGGATGAACTTAAAAGATTCATCGCTCAGAAGACAAATAATAATGATAGTATTTTGAAGTTTTGGAAGCATAAAAATTCGTTTCCTTTTTTGAAAAAATTAGCGAGTAAAATTTTATCCGCCCCTGCAAGTTCGGCATCTAGTGAAAGATTGTTTTCTGTAGCCAATCGCTTGTTGGAGGAAAGGCGTACTCAATTAAATTAAAAAAACATGGATATTATTCTTTTTTTAAATAAAAATTTCGATTTATAAATTGTATTTATTTTTTGTTATGGAATTATAGAAATAAATAGAATAAATTCAAAAAAGTGTATAATTATAGGTTACCAATTTTGAAAAATTTAAAAACACCGTGATCTTTCGGGCGTGACGTGCGTGAGTCAAAATATTGCCTTTCGTGAGCGGGCGGGTCGGGTCAAAATTTTTTTAGTGGTAAGCGTGAGTGGGAGTGAATTTTTTTTATTACCACCGTGAGTTGGCGGGCCGTGAATAAAAAATTAGGCCCGCGGCCACCTCTAGTGCTTATATTAAAATTCGTTATTATAGATTAAAATAATAAAGCTAAAAGCTCGAGATTTTAGTCAAAATAATATTAACTAGCTTCCATATTTCGCCAATAGACTATATGTGGTTTGGAACCAGCAATATAAAGGATTTTGGTTCTGGTCTCCATAAATTTGAAATGGATTCTGATTCCACATTGTGCTATATACTAGTTATGCGTCAATTCCAAGAATATATTATCACCATGTGATAAGTGTATAATATCAGATTTCAAATAACCCTTATTTAAACTTAAAAGACTTCAAAATTAAAATTAATTATTCCGAAATTAAACCAATCACAATTTATATATTTACTTAGCAGCGAATGATTGAACAGTAAGATAATTATCCTGAATGAACAAAGGAACCATGGTATAATCCATAAAAAATAGGTCGGCCTTTTTCCTAAGTACATCAGTATCAGCTGAAGACTCGGCAGAAAACATGGTTCGGGTTATCTCAAAATCATCCTATATAATTTCATTTTTAATGATATTTGCAAATATAATATAAAGAATAATTATCTTAAATTTAATGCAATTATAATAACAATTATTAATGAAGCTTTATTGGTTAAAAAATTGCAAATAGTTTTATACCAGTTTGATATCTTTTTTCATGGTTTTAATTTCTGAGCCTAGATCGGCATATTTAAGACTTTTGCTGTCAGCACTGAATAAACTAAGACTATGAATTATCTATAAATATATATTAATAAGTCATAATATTGGTGTAAAATAAAATAGTGATAATAAATATGAAATAAATTATGATCAAATAAAAAGGGGTCATTTTCTTTCTTTAGTAATTTTTATTAATTACATTATTTATCTGTTCTGTTAACGTTACATTTACTCGTTAATTTTTTTAAAAAAAGTAGAGTCACTTTACTGCATTGTAACATATAAGCTCACCTGACGAATGTCACTATTGCAAGCTTGAATAACTCTTTGAACTATGGCGGGTTCTATCGTCACTTTTTCGTTGTAAAGCAATTTAAGCATGGCTTCTTTGATTTGTTCTGGTCGGGGTTTTGAAAATCGTAGATCGTAACAATAATTGACTAACATTCTCATTTTTGGGTCACCTCTTTGATTGCATATGCCTTGTAAGAAATAATGTGTAGATTTTAACCTGTTTTTTTTAACTTTTATTTTTCGTCGATCAAATCTATTTTGATGTAACTGTACAAAAAAATGGTTTAAATATAGTTGGGATTAGGACTAAATAGGGATTATAAATATTGAACATTAGTATTTATTAGTTTGTGGAAGAGACTTAAGATCTAGTAACCCTAAGTGTTGAAAATCCCACCACCAAATCAAGTTCAATTGGAATTAAAAAAAATATTCACTAATTACAGAAAAATAAGTTGTGATAAAGATAAAAGTATTTCAAAATAAAGGTGCTCTAAAAAAACACTATTTTTTTTAACCATACCTCTATAGTGAAATGAATTACAAATACCTGATGGATTGAATTATGAGGTTAATGATGCTTACTACCTTAAGGTACTACCTATCAAATTTGAATTTTGTTTATTTTTCATTTGGATAGGCACTACCAAATATATTTATAATATATATTTGAAAAATCGTGACTTTTGGAAAGCCTCTATGGCCTAGTAGGCAAGAGCTTCGCTTACTGATCCCATGGTCGCAAGTTCAAATCCCGAAAATGGTCATGTTTTTTTTCTTAATCTAACTTGGTGGTTCCATCCTTGGGGGGATGATATAGGAGGCCGGACTCGGCCATGTGATTCCGTTATAATATATTAAATAATAAGGGTCTTATTACATTTTAATAAATTTTGGTCGGTATTTAGCAAATTAGGTTGGTATTTAGAATATTTCCATACATTCACTTGGTAGTAAGCATCATTAACCGAATTATGATAATATTTAACAAACCCCTAGTAAAAATAAAAAAGTCAACTAATGAAGCCATTCCAAATCTAATATAAGAAAATTATAAATCAAATGTGATTTGAGTGTGAGAATATTTCAAAATAGCTCATATTATGACTAATAATAATAAAAAGACTGTAACCTATAAACTAGGATAAGTCGAGATTCACTCTCTACATATTTGGTGGAAAATAAAACCGGGGGCAACATGTCAATTAATTGCATCCTTAGTTGGGAAATGGCAAAATTTTCTTTGAAATGCTACGCTCATAAGTTTTCCAATTATAACTTTGATCAGAAAATAAGAATCAGCTGAATTGAGCATATCCATTAACCAAATAAAGCTAATTGTTTTCAGTAAATTAATCTGGCCCGGACATTTGTTTACATTATATTCGTAAATTAATGATAATCATTCATACACAATATATAGAGTAATCTACGAACTTCATAGCCAACGTGAGAAGTCCAGTCGTATAATATAAAGCTTTTAAGAATTTAAGGCTTATAAAAGGCGCCGAATATTAGGGGATAAATCTAAATTTTTGAAGTACTTACAATTTTATATATAACCATAAATTATAGTTACATTTGCGAAATCAAACAGATAAGTGTTACAATACAGCCCTAAGTTTATAGGCTATAAAGCCTTAATATGGCCTAGGGTAAATCCATATAAGAGACTGAGAAAATATTTTCCATCAACAATGAACATTTTATAATGTATTTCGCAATAAATATGTAGCTTGCATAAAATTGATAGATCTTCAAAAAATAATTTATATTGAAAAAATACAATAAACAACAACCAAAAAATTCAACTAATTTAACATTTTCTTAAAAGCTTCTGTATATTCTATTTGACAAAGTTGTGTCAAAGAACAGGCTACAGTCAAGAACTTAAGAATGCCTAAATAACAAGAGCGGGAAACCGCATTAGATAATCATGGCAATTAATCATAATAAAAGTTAAAATTATATTTATATCAAGCAATTGATGAGAATGATTAAAACTATGTATATCGATAAATTAAAATGATAAAATTATTTTCTAACAAATTATAGGCATCTTAGTGGTCTTAATGAGCGCTATAAGTTCTTGAATTCCGCCTCGATCCTCGTTACCGGCCATACCGTCAACTTCATCCATTATCAAAACATGATTTTTAAATTTTGAATGATTTCCTTATCAAACACATTTTTAATAAAATTTGAAAGTATATATAATTATATAATTTTTTTTGTATTTTAAATATTTTTACAAAAAGTTTACCACAAAGATACAATATGTCATCGTTTATAAAATTTTAAGGGGTATTACATTTTTACAAAACGCAAGAGATTGCAATTGATATAAACAGACATTAAATAAAGTTTGATGTAATAAATATTTAAAAACAAATCTAGCCAGAAAAAATTGTTATGAATAACCATTTTATATACCTTGCAAAAAATTGGGCATATTGTAAGAGGTCAAGCTATCCGAAAAGAGGTTTTTTAAGCATTTCTTTGAACGAATGTTGGAGGCATTTAATTCCGAATAAGTAAAACCTAATTCCTGTTGAAGTTTAAAAGATAAATATAATAAATATGAATAAACGAAAGATGTTATGTAATTTTATAATTGTAATAAAATTGTAAAAATTTAATTATCAGAGATAGGATAATCCATATAAATATAATAATTGACTGTAATGAGGCAAATTGTATATAAATTGGGTCAAAATCTTTCATATCCAATTTCAAGCATCATTAAACATTTGCGCCGATATAACTATTGGCGGTCATAATTTCATAGTAATACTATTTTTTGTTATATTATCTGGAACAAGAAAAGGATTTTTAAATTATATAACGAACGAGTCACATTCAGCGAGTGTTCAAGATTTTGGCCAAAAATAAATTACTCAATCCATTTATTTCTTCCATATATGGCAGAAGGGTTTCTTCTATTGGCGAAATTTCAAGGCATAGGTAATATTTTGACTAAAATCTTGATATATTTTTAAAAATCGGCCAAATAATGGAAACAACACTACATTTATCCATAAAGATTGCATAAAAGAATTTATTGGAGAATAAAAAAACAAATTACACTATAAATAGCGGTAAGACTAAATAATGCATTGCTAAACTGCATTGGTAAAATGTATTGTTAAAAAGTAATTAATCATAATCAATCAAAATTTGATTATATAATATATTTTTTTAATGAACATAAATCAATTTGTTATTATGTAAAAAATTGAGATTAAATATCAAATAATTTACAATTCTATTTTTACGTAATATTATCGGAAAAAATAATTATTTACTAGCTTATTACAACTTAAATTTATTTTTCAATTGCAAAATTTAGCAAATATATATCCATAAGAGGGCGTTAAATAAAAATTATTGGATAGCGCTTTTTATATTTGGGTGTAAATACATGTGCTATGACATTTAATTAATGAGTAGGTTTAGAATCGAAAATTAATAGAAAATTTGTAAGGCACATATTGTTGGCGTTATTGATCAAAATCTCTTCATTTTTGGTTTATATGTGTATATTTAGGAGTTAAGCATTATCCTAAAAAATATTTTGAAAATATTATGATTTGACCGAATGCCGAGCTCAAAACCGACCACTTACTAAATATTCCTGTATAGTGGTTTGTACCTCTTCATTATACCACCATTGTCTTTGTATGATTTGTTGCCTCCCCTTGTCAAGCCTAGTGTCGATTTGGCAGTGTCTATTAATCAGGATAAAAGGTCTGTCCACATTTTTTCACTGACTTGTGAGGAATCTATTGTTTCAATGTTTGCATTGATTGCAAAGGCATCTATCATTGTTTTTAATTTACCCCATTTGATGCAATGTTCCAGTTTTATCTTATTTTGAGTAGATTTATTTGAGATGTGTAAACCATGACTAGTAGCTTGTGTTGCACGGCGATATATTCTCCTGGGATGACTTTGCAGTCTATTACATCTTTTAATCTTCTGCGAGAGATTAGCATGTAATCTATCTATGTTTTCCTTGTACCACTTTCATATGTTATTAAATGACTGTCTTTTTTCCTAGTAGGTGTTGGTTAATGCAAGGTAGAAGGCTTGCACATATTTCAGTATAGGCTCTCCTCCGTATCCAAAAACACCATGATGCCTTTTGTAGCTATCTCTAGCCTTTCCCACATGTGCATTTAAGTCAGCACCTATTATGACTAGGTCATCCCTAGGAATTTCCATTACAGCTACATCAAGGATAGCTCTAAAATCATCTTTCTCCTCTTCTTTGCTACCCGTTTGAGGAGCATATACTAAAAGGATGTGTAGTATTGATTGACCAATGCAGTGTTTTATCTTCATTAGCCTATCAGAGATCCTGTTGACTTCGACTACTGAGGAGGTTAGATCTTGAGTGAGGATGATGCCGACACCGTTCCTATTGCTAACAATTCCATTATAGTACAATTTATATCCCTCTCCAATCATTAAAGTCTTCTGAACTTTCCATTTCGCCTCTTGTATGCACGCTATATCAACCTTTCTCTTGTTCAACATTGATGCCAATTCTCTCGTTTTACATTTAAGTATCTTAATATTCAAACTTGCTAACCTTGTCTTCTTTGCTTTGACCTTTATTTTACTTTTCGCAGGATGGAGGTCTACACCCTGCGCGTCGCTTGGAGGGAATGCCCTAGCTTTCATATTCATATTTTCATTTGTGTCCTTCATTTTTGTTTATTGGACAAGTATCCTTAGCACCCGGCTGTCCAAGCCTGTAGGTGACCGGGGTGTCACCTCTAAGCTCCGAAATTCATCCTACCATATGTCTTTACACATCAGTCATCGAAGAAAAACCGGAAAATTTTTACGTTCCTTACCAGGATCGAACCTTGGACCTTCAGTTTCCAAGCCCACATCATAACCCACTAGGCCACTTAACGTTATTTGGGGAAAAAAATAGCGAGCTGTTTTTCAAAAAAGTAGCATGCTATTAGCTACTTTGTAAAAAAAATTACAATATTATTTATATATATCTAATCTATGTCCATAAAATTAGCATTTTAATTCAAACATGTAAAGACATTGATAAGAAAAATATATGCATTATTTATTTTGGATATTTTAATAAAATCATCACTAAGTCTATAGCCGGGATCAGAATGTATAAGTTTTAACTTCAAATAATTGTTGTAACACGTGATGGCAATTGGTATTTAATTTTCTAACTTTTTGTATAAAAAAAATTATAAAATAGTTCATTTGAGTATTTTTTTTAGATTTAAAGGGTCAAGACAATTTATTGACTAATTTATCTTTGTTGGCTATTAGATTCAAGGCTAAAATTAGCATATATAGCTGCTCTTACCAATTGTTGTAAATGTTAGATTTAATTTGCATAAAGATTTCTTTTGGATTTTGTTGTACTTTATATGTAATTTGCATAAAGAATTCTTGTGGATTTATTGTTATAACGCATGATAAAAAGATTATTTAATTATATTTTATTTTATTGTATTTTATTTTTTTATGATTTTTACTATTATAATTTAGTTAATTTGATAATGTTATAATTCTAAATAAAGGATTAAAGTTGATTTTATGATTTCGTGATTCCTAATTATTATTAATTTCCTTTATATATATATATATTTGTTTTCTATTTTATATTTAGGTTTTGATGCACAATGACAAACCTGTCGTTGTGACAATGGTGTTGGAGAGCGGAGGAGACCGGCCCTTTACAACCTTCAGTCTAATGCAAATCACACATTGTGACCGGTGGGACAACAAGGAGATGTGTCAAATTGTATTCTAATACAAAAAAAAAATTCCAGAAGAACGTAAGAAAAATATGTAAATAAAGGTGAAAAGGAAAAATTATGTTGTTAAGATTATGTTTATGTAGAATATAAAATCTAAAATTAAAAACAAAGAATTATATAGGTAACATTCTTAATAGATATGATATAAAGAAGTTTGTGTTTAGTTATTTAAAGGTGATAATTAGAAATTTTATATTTAGTTGGTGGTAAACTAAAACCATTGGAATTTTGAAACTAATAAAGACTATGATATTTTAGATTTTAACATAAATTGCGAAAGTTAATATTAAACTAATAATTTGCTAAGATATAATAATTAAAAAATTCGGTGAATAAGATTAGAATATAACTTTATTGTTAGGAAATAGTTGATTAAATTCTTATTGAAGATTTACGTTTAACTTTTATTTTAAGGGCTGCGAGAGATAAAACAGCCGCAAGGATTAATGTGAATGTAGTATATTAGGTTGTAGATTAACCAAAAATCTTCATAAAGAGAAACGGCTTTCGTCATTAGAAAATTTATGCCGCAATCGAGCTCAATTAGAGATCGGATTTTTATTTTTTTTGAATCATAAATAAGATTTGAGATCAATTATGCAACATTATTCTAATAATAACAGAAAGAAAAACATGCTTTAGAAATATACATATCAGTTTTCAACAACGGTTGTGCGAAAAATTATAATGATTAGAGTTCATAAGTTCTTCAAAGACGTGGGGTGAAAACCATAGTGATTAGAGTTAATAGGTTGTTCATAAACGTTAGTATGAAAACTTTTATGATTAGATGTCATTGATTTCTCGACAACGTATGTATGAAAAGAGATTTATATATTTCAGCAGTTTTTTTTTAAAGACTTGTGTCAAAGAGTACATGATGAAATAATTTTTTTAAAAGATAGATTTTGATATATATTTTAGAATAGGATTTTTAGATATAAATTTAGTATAGACATGGCTGAAAAGAAGATGAGGATCAATAGCTAAAGGATGAGTACAAGTAAATTTTTCAATGAAAATATGGATCTAGGCTTCATTAAGGGGAGAGGGGTGATAGAATTTGATATATTTATATAATTTATTATATTTTGCTACGTATTATAAATTTAAGATTTAGTATAATTTACGCCATTTATTAAAGGCAGAATTAGTTTAGAGGAGATAAATGTAGACATTAGGATAAGGTTGGTATAATTATATATTTTATTAGTATATTTGTATTAGGTAGTTTATATTTGAGAATAAATATAAGAAAGTGATAAAATATTTCAGAAGTTATTTAAATAGATTATTTTAGGTAGAAGTAGATTAGATGTGATTACCCGATATCTCAGCAAGAGCAAACTGTCGTAGAAGACCCGGAAGCCTGAAAGATAGATACGATTACAAGAATTAGAGGCAACAACCAATCAATTAACAAGAGAAAGGGGAAAACAAACGAATTAATAGAAAGTAGGGTCAAGACGTTATGCTGCAATCGTTAATCGCTGACCAATAATAGCCAATTATTACCGAGACTTTAGTCTTGATAGGAAACAAGCTACGATAAAAAAGATTAAGACAGACTAGCAAAAAACAAGAGAGGAAAAGAAACTGGATGTCATCGATAATCGTTATCAATCGTGGATAGTGGAAAACAGGCGTGTATCAAGTTCGTCAGTGGCTTACAGCGATAAAAACCTAACCGTTTCACAGGGTGACAAGCGACAGATAGAATTCAAAAATTTCAAGCGACAAAGCCTTCGTTAGAACTTAGAAGACAGCAAAAATTAAGAAGAATAAGTCGAGATCGAAAGAAGATTGATTATTCGCAGAATGTTGGGTCTAATGTAAGTAGGGAGGTGTTGTAAATGTTAGATTTAATTTGCATAAAGATTTCTTTTGGATTTTGTTGTACTTTATATGTAATTTGAATAAAGAATTCTTGTGGATTTATTGTTATAACGCGTGATAAAAAGATTATATTTGAATAGTTATGATTAGTTATAAGAAGATTGAAAAGAGTATAAAAAAAGGCCAATTTTTACGATACAAATGATCCTTTTTTTTATTTTATTAATTTTTTTAATTATATTTTATTTTATTGTATTTTATTTTTTTATGATTTTTACTATTATAATTTAGTTAATTTGATAATGTTATAATTTTAAATAAAGGATTAAAGTTGATTTTATGATTTCGTGATTCCTAATTATTATTAATTTCCTTTATATATATATATTTGTTTTCTATTTTATATTTAGGTTTTGATGCACAATGACAAACCTGTCGTTGTGACACCAATTAAGTTAAATTAGAACATAAACACTTTATTTAACATTCATGAGTCCCAAACAATCTGCTGCAGTCGTAGTACTTTCTCATTTTTGCCTTTCGGCTACAACAAACAGATCAATGTTTGAGTTAGAGGAAAATTGGGTTATTAAATTATAAATACATTTCAGTATTTTTTAATAGTAATCAGAGACCTGCAGGCCTGGTCCTAAGCCCGGCTCATTATTAAATATATCAGGGCCAGGCCTAACATTATTTTTAAAAAATACGCCAAATATTTTAAATAGCCATTATTAACTACAAAAATTGATAGAAATATTTTTAAAAAATCCGGGCTGGGCCTGAAAATATAAAACATAGGCCAAGCCAGTCCGAAAATTTTTTTTTAAAAAAATCCAGGCCACGCTGTGCAAATAATACTTCTGCAGGTCTGTGAAATTTAATATAAAATTTTAAAGTAGCGTGCTATTTATCAAGATATAACATCGCATTTTAGATTTAAGAAATTTATCTGGTCTGATAACACAAATTCAACCACCATAGTGTAATACCTATTCTTTTGATTAGATTTGCAATAAAAGGTACTATTATATTACCATTACAACCGTGATGATGAGCTTGTGTTAGAATAGAAACATATATAATTACCTGTTAAATATGATTATTTATGCATCTTATTATTTCATATCATAATGTTCTAAAAAAATTAATGTGCAAGCTGTGTGTCACAGCATGATGTAAAACAGTAACATGGTGGCACGACCTGGTTCTGGGTTTTTTTTAAAAAAAATCGGGTCAGCCCAGCCCGGGTTTTATATTTTCAGGTCTGACCCGAATTTTTCAAAATATTCTTTATTTATTTTTAATTTTTATAGCTATTAATGGCGATATAAAATATTTGTTTTTAAAATATATGACCCAGCTTGGGTATATATAAAATAATTAAAATACGGCCCAGCTCAGAGCTCTGATATTAATAAACGGGGGCAGTTAGCCAATGGTAACTAGAGCAATCATAATCATAATATGGTATTTTTTTGTCATATACTAAGGAAATTTTTTTTCGGTTGACAAGCGTTTTTAAATTATCTTAAGAGGGGGGATTAACTTGATATAGTTCTCATTCCTTTAAAAAAGTAAAGATTTTTCTATACTTTGCTAGTTAATATAGCTGTCGTTGTTTTACCAACACCAGGAGGCCCAGAGAGCAATGCAGCTTTAAAGTCAGAATTTTCTTGTTGATTGTATCCTTAAATTTCGATCATTTTAAGAAATAATATTGGATATTATATATATAGATTAATCAAATATTTTTTATTATTATTTAAATAGTGGTGTTTGGCAAAAAAAGATATTTTTATAAAAATCAAAATAATAGATTTTTATAATTAAATCACAATTTTTTGATTTGAATCAAGTTTTTCCCAATAAAAATATATTTATATGTCCTGGAATAAATAACTACCTAGAACAAGTTAATAATTGAACACACGTTTTAATTTTACTTAAAACATCTGTGAAATTTATGTAAAAACTACTATTAAAGAGATTTTGGATTGATTGAAAATAAATATTCTATCAAACCTAATACATTTAATATCTGTCCTATTTTCTAATTTTAATACATTATAATTAAAAAATAATTTAACATAAATCTAGAATTAAAAGTAAAATCTTTATACACTAGAATTAAAATAAATATTTGTATATATATATATCTGAATTAATTTTTTTAGTATCAAACAAGATATTAATATTTATTTAAGAAAAGGAAAGTTGAAATAATTTCCTTAAATTTAAACAATAATGATGATAAGAGTTTATTAAAAAAAAATTATTTTAGGATTAATTTATAAAATATATAATCATTTTAATAAAGTTAAGCAATTAATTCTTATATGCTATAGTAAAATAAGACATAAGAAAATGTTTTTATATAAAATAAAACACAAATAATTATATAAATAAAAATTAATTCAAACCATAATTTTTATTCGAAAAAATTATTTATTTTAATGATATTTAATCAACAACCCTGGTTAGAGTTAATTCTTGCAGGTGGAAATGAAAATTGTAATTCTTAAAATATCATGTTTAAAAGAAAATTAAACGGTTTCCATTAGGCTAAGCCAAAAGCGTTTTTTTTAAATTTTACTTTTCGTTAGATCCACTCTTTGAATCAACTTTATCAAAAATAAATTAAAGTCAACAAAAAGTAAAAAAAACACCTTTTTAAAATTGCTTTACATAAATTTTTTTTAAAGTTTTCAGTAATTTTAAGATATTTTATTAAAAAAACCTTTTTTAGCAGATTTTATTTGTTTTCCTTTATTATCGGTACTTTGTTGACTACCATGGTTGTAGAACCAATCCCCGAGCCATTGCATTAATTTATTTAAACTACTTTTATCCCCTGAGCATGAATGATTATAAGATAAAAACGATAAAAAGCATTTTAATAAATTGATTTTTGTGTTTTTTTGTAACTTTTAACTTACTTAAATTTATTCAAAACGTAAGGCTATCTATTATAAAAGAAATTTCAAAAATATAATTATATAAAATCAAAATAAAATATTAAAAAATTTTAATTTTAAAAAATATCACTTTCATTCATCACATTTTTGAATGATCACAATTTCGTTAAGAAACAAAAATAAACCTTGTTGCCCTATGATGTCCCGAGTACATTTAGGTTTGTATTTATCTACCCACATGTAAGTTTTGTCAATGTCGACCTTTTCGACTTGCTTATCGGATTCATTTTTGGCGAGATTTTTAATGATAGTACCGTGAGGTTTTTTAACAATATCCTGATCACTTAATTTCTGCTTTTTGACAGAGGTTGGCTTTTTTGCGTTTATTTGTTCTATGTATTCGATCTTTTTCATTAAAGAGAAAGGGGTTTGGGTTAAAATTGCATAAATATAGTTGTACACAAACATTTTAATAATCGGACAGACTTGATTAGCAAAAAAATCTGATCTTTATAAACTCAGCCAAAAGAAACAGATTATATTTTTTAAAAACCCAGGGATGTGAACCCTGACAGTGATTACTTTAGCTGTACCTGTAGCGAACCCTTTTTAAAAGTGGAGAGTTTAGGGGTTCTAGATGTCAATGAAAAATAAATAAATAAATAAATTTTTTCTAGAAATCATTTCTTTATCGCTTCCCATCAAAATTTTCTGGTTTTTATATTTCCATTTTATTGGCAATATCCTGTTTTAATTTGTATCAATTTTAGAAGGTGATATATGTGAATTTTGTAGTATAGGTAAAATATTTATCATAAATAATTATATAATATGCTATATAATGGGAATACGTTGCTTATCTTATATATTAACTTTAGAAAGTGAAATATTGGGAATTTTGAAGCAGGCACGTAACTAACCCCACTCCTATCGCAAATTTGCCTGCTCCCGTAAATATCATTTTAATGTAATAACCCCCCCCCCCTACACAGCCCTCACCCCCAAAAATGTAAACAATATATCACTAAATTGAAAGATAAATTAGTAAAAGTTAATAATTATTTAACTAAATTTTTATAAAAAAAAGTAAAAACACAAGATTATTTTTATATACGTGGACCTAAAGATTTCCAATAAAATTTATGTAGGGAAACCCACCTAATAATGCCCCCTTCCCCTAACAAAATCCCTCTTTTAGTGTAGGTAATAATATTTTATCTGTAGAATATGGAGTATAAAAAATAAAAAAATTATAATTTTAAGTCAATATTTCTTTATGATTTCCAAACCCTGAACCCAGACCCTTTATAAAATTTTATTCCTGGACCTGGACCCTTTTTTTAGTCTAAGGGTTCACATCCCTGAAAAAACTGCTTTAAATTACGTCATCATCTTCAATGTTCATTTTCCAAGTGACTTTCTTCCCGTTATATTTCCCGATGTCCCCAGCTTTTGCACTTAGTGTGGCATCGAATGATGTCCTCTTACCTTTATTACTCAGTTTGGCATTCTCATTTGCCTGCGAAACTTTTTGATCTATCTTGTTTGTCTCATTTTCGGGGTCGTAAATAAGGTATTTAGATTCTTTACCGGGTAAGGTCTTTAAAAGTTCGAAAAATTGATCCTCGTTTATCTGTTTGACTTTACAAGTTTTTGCCTTTTTTATTTTGATAAGCATGAGAAAAATTGATAAAAAAATTGGTAGTTAACGTCTTTTGATTTATATATTAGAATCAATATGTTTAATGAATAATTTCATATGATGATTAAAACATAGGTATGGTATAGCATATTTAAAAAATTTCAACTATATTTATATCATTGAATACATCTCATTTGATCAATTACAATATAGTAGTTGTTTACTTTAAATGAATGTCTTAAATTTGTTGATCATATCGATAATATTATTTTAACTTTTAAAATGGTATCGTAGGGCAAAGTTATGAGTTTATTTATGGATAATATTACCTTCTCAATTTTCGCGGGACCTGGTTCCCTTCCAACAACCATGTAATCGGTCTTCCTCGAGATGGATAGGGTCAATTTACCCCCATGGATCTCTATGATTTCTTTGCATTTGTCCCTCTCCAAGCTTTCCAATATGCCAGTTACAACAAATATTAGGCCTTCAAAACAATTCTCCTGGCCCTATTTAAAAAAAGTCACATATTATTTATTACCAATTCAATATACAATTGATTATAATTTTTAAAATTACAATCATCTCAAAAATAATATTATATTATGATTAATAATTTGAACTTATTTTTTCTTGCCAAATTTTTAATAAATATTATATAGCTGTAAGATTCAATAATAGAATTTAAAAAACAATAATAATCTAATAATAACTTTTTGAATATAAAAAGCAATAATATAATAGAACTATATATGCATTTAAAAATCTAATAATTTCTATCATACCATAAATTATATATTAATAAAAAATATAATACTATATATATATGCCATGTAATTTAATGTTTATATAGTAAAATAGATTAATAATTCTAAAACCTCTGGTATCTCTCTTAAGCCCAAAGCCTTTGGTCCTTCTCTTTGTTTAAATGCATTGTATGCACTTTTTTTGGCAACCGTTTTTTCATCATTCTCCAAGTTGTCATGGGTGAAAGGCTATATCAGTTGTATTGTAAATAAATAGTCATGAATGTAGATAATATATTGACCAGTAATTTGCAGCTGGGGCACGCTATTAATATACAAAAATTGTGTGGGGCATGCTAAATGAGCAAAAAATAAAGGCGAATTTTTGTTTTTACAAGAATTTGAGGCAAATTTTCTTTTTGATTTTTTAAACGCTTATATAGAAGCATTTTCTATAAAATAAATTTATATTATATCAAATAGCTAATTAGATTATAAAAATTGAAATATATTGGAAAAAATATATATTGGCCAAAAAATAACGTCATTTTTTGGAATGCATTTCATAATTATTTATTTATATTGCATAAATTGGAATAGATCAAAGAAATGAAAAAATTCAGATATTGACGGTTTTTCCAAATTCTTGGATTCTAAAATCCATGGCAAGGATAGCAAAAAATTGGTCAAGGAAAAGGGTGTTTTAATCGAATCCAAATATTATAAAGGCTAGAAGTGTTTTTCGAGATTAGATTATAGATATTATGAGAAAATTTCATAATTCTGATTAAGAGTCGTATAATGCCTAGTAAAAACCGTTTTAATCGATAAAGGTTAAAAGAGAGAACCAATTGAAAATACTAATTTTATGCAATCATATGGAATTATATTCTAATTTTAAAGAAACTCATAGTAATATAAAAGTGAGCTTTAAAAAATTTACAAATTTAAGATAAAATTTTTTTAAGCAAAATGATTAGTTCTCTTAAAATCAAAATTTATCAAGAATGTTTCAATTTCTGATGGTGTAGTTACTCAATATATATCAGAGACCTGCAGAGGTACCGTTTACATGGCCCGGATATTTAAAAAAAAATTTTTGAGGCTCGGCTTGGCCCGAATGTTTTAAAATTATATTCGACGTGGTATATACAAAAAATTCACCTATTTGGTATTTTATCATATTTTTCAGAGAGTAATCATTTAATAAGCAAGCATATTAGCTGATGTTACGGTTAACTCAATATTTTCGCTAGAAAAATATTGACTAAGCCTCGAAATTTCGATACTATATGTCTAGACCTTTGCTCCTTCTATGAGAAAAATTTTCAGGCTTGCGTAATATTTTCCTGGATAAAAACCCGAGTTAGCCGTTTTTATAAATAAGCTCAAAACGAGCCGTTTAACAACACTACCATTTTTTTTATTCTAAACAGATATTTAGTATATTACAAATTAGTGTTGTTAAAGTTACTTTTGAAATATAACTAGTTACATTTACTATTTATATTTTTACAAATGTAACTAGTTATTAGTTACAGTTATTTTTCAAAAGTAACTCGTTACATTATAAGTTACTTTATACATCATTCATATAACGCATTTATTTACTGAACAAATTTATTTAATATAAAAAAATATGATATACAAATTATAATCATTTATTTAAAAAAAAATAAATAATTTATTTATATAAAAAAATAAGTAAACCGAAAAAAATATCGGAAAATAGAATATTTATATTTACATCGAATAAAAATATACTATATATTTGCATTGAAAAAAAACATATTTATTTTTCATAAAAATTTGAGTTTAATAAATGTTTATTACAACAATTGGATTTCAAAATTTTTATCTAGGAGACGCGCTCGTTTCTCTCCAAAGATGAGCTCCCTAGACTGAATAAATGCTCTACAGGAGCACTTGATGTAATAACAACATTATATTTATTAAAGAGTATTTTTAAATTTGGAAAATCATCATATAAAGATAATTTGCTGTTATTGGATTTAAAAAAATTTTCAATAAATTCATAATTATCAATATTCTGACGCTTTAAATCAAAAACTCCAACTACATCTAATGATGTTTGTTGAGAACATGAGCCATTTGTGTTAGATTCACAGCGAGGTAAAGTTTAAAATTTCCATCTTTTTTGACCTATTCTTTTCTTGCCTTATCCAAGGCCAATCAGTTTTAAATAGTGGATGAAGAATAGCAGCAATTGTGTTATATCATAAAGTTCATGAAACCTATATCATTGTATTATTAATTTATAAATAATTATTTAATTTAAGTTACCTTTTTTTAATACTAGCTAATAGACAATATTTTAATTCTTGAACACCTTCCAGACAAATAAGTGTCTGTGTTATTGTTGGGATATAATAAGATACATATATTTTTCACCTTAGCAATAGCTTTAGCTACTGGTTGCATAATCTAATTTTTTTTGTAAATTATTTATAAGACACTAATTTAAATTTACACTGCAATATTCTTTAATAAAATCACGATCTTGCGATGTAATCTACACAATTCTAATTCATCACATAATAAATCCAAATCCAAAGGCATTTCATTTATAAGTGATAATATTTTAGATAAAGATGTAATAACTCTCTTTTGTACACTGGGATATGGCAGCTGAAAATGTAATCTCTTTTTAATTTGTTCAGCTGATAGGCCAGATTTGTTTTGTGTATTCCACAAACGTTAGATATAGCAACCTTATACACTTTATTGTTTAAAAGTATTTTATTGGCATCTTGTGTTGCCACTAAGTTTAATGTGTGACAGGAACATCTTCGATGCCTATAAAGGTAGTCGAAGTCATTTATATTATAATTAATAGCCCAGAGGAAGACATTATATCTTCTATTGAAATGCATTCAATATCTGAATATTGCTACATAGTTTGTTCTATTTAAATTAATAAGAGTTATTAGGTTATATTGGTCACTTCCAGGTAAAAGTTTGGTCCAGAATTAAGAATAATCTCTTGACTAATTATCTAAATTTACATACAACACTTCTTCATTTCAACAGACTTTTGTTCCATATAAAGATACTATCAAAAAATTGTATCATGAAATTAATTTACTTAAGACATATCCTTGTACATTTAATATTATTATGTACCACATAGCTTTCATTATCATAATCATCTAATCCGATTGGAAATTATTTTAGTAGATGTTGCATGGTATTTTTGAAATCCTCCAATGTTAAAAAATAGGTTTATTTATTCCCAAGGAAATGAAAATCTATTAATTCACATTTACACAATTTAAAAAAATAAATTTAATTTAAAATAAATTTATCCCAACATATTAAAAATAAAATGAATTATTTTAATATATTATTTAGATTTATATATACATATTTTTAAAAGTAACTAGTTACTTTTGGCAGTTACATTGATAAAAATATAACTAGTTACAGTTACAATTTTTAAAATATAACTAGTTACAGTTATTTTTTAGCAAAAATGTAACTAGCTTAGTTACTTGTAACTAGTTACCTTAACAATACTATTACAAATTGTTACTATAAAAAAATTTGTGTAAATAATATTTTGAGAATATACTATATTTATTGTATTATAAAAAAAAATAATATTTTAAATAAAAAATCATATATTATATAATAATGTATTTAATCCTTTGCTGGCAGGAAAACTACAATTATATTATGTAATAGATACTATGAGTGTTAGCTAGTGTTAACTTTCACCCAACATTAATCATAACTATATATAATCATTATAACCATATCTAATTGACGAATATAATAATTCATGTTGTATAATTTTTTTTAAAAAATTTAAAATATGGCCCGGCCCTGATACCCGGATCGAGCCTGCAGGTCTCTGATATATATAAATTAAAATTAATAATATAAGCCATCATGAACTTGATTATAGAATCAAGCGGAATGAAGTTACCTTCAGAGTCCATATGAGAATCATATTAAACACCTTAGATTTTTTAAATTTTTATAAAGCTAATATCTATAGAATTAATTACTTATTTGTAAAAGATAATGAATATGAAAAATATCAAGTTAAAAAGGCCAAGCCAAATCCCGAAATACAAAAGTTTCATGATTTTATGCTACTTAGGGAAAATTAAATTATTTACAATATATAATAGGGTTTAAACCACCCCGATTTTTTCTTAAATCAGTGATTTAAATCAATAATTTAAGAAAATTTTATATAAAAATAACTAAATTGTACTAGTAATCATCACTTACAAGATAAAAAAGAATATTTGCTTTATCATTATATCGATTTAAAAAAATTAATTGTTAATTGTATAATTCTAATCTAATTGTAGTGAGAAATTGTTTAATATTCTAAAAAAAAATATTGGTTTGTTAAATTCAGGACTGTGAACCCGTGAAATATCTTAGAATCCTGTTCGTCAGGGTATAAAATTTAGTAAAAATAACAAATATCAGTTTTTTTATAAATTTATTTTACTAAAGTTGTGTATGATTTGTTGTAAAACATTTCAAAAATGGACAAAGCATCTAACATATTTTTTATAATTGATAAATGGCAAATAATTTTATACTAAATGCGTTTGTCCATTGTTGAAATTTTTAACAACAAATCATACAAGCACTGTATATTTAGCATTTACCATAAAAATATAAAAAGAAATTATTATTATGTAATGTAAAAAGATAATAATTATTATAATAATATATTTTTTTAAAAAGATATTTTTTTTTGGTAAAATAAATTCATTGAAAATTTTTGTTAAATTTAAAAAAAAAAGAAGAAATAATAATTATATAATTTTAGTTTTTATTTTGTAAAGATTAATTCATTGAAAAAATTTGTAACTTTTGTTTTTATGAGTATGAAATAAAGTTTTTAAAGAGTGTAAAATTCGAATAACATATTCAGGAATTATTAAAGGCTTATTCTTCTTATTCTTTTTGTATTTAATACATAAAAAGTGTTGACCGTTCTCCCAGGATTCGAACCTGGAAATTCAAGGGTATTCATTATTTTAAGGTAAAAAAATAAAATTTTTTTTTATTTTACATATTATAGGTTACCTTAGGACACAACGCAATAATAACGTTTTTGTGGTTTAAATTTTTTTTTGTGAATTTTAATTAACAAAGTAGTTTGGAAAAATATTTTTGTCTTTTTGTAATAACGTAATTTTAAAGTAGAAATTTGTAATATGCGATGGTTGTGTATTTCGATAAGTATTCTGAGCCTACTT